CACGAACAATGAATCATGGAACACTTCATCTAGAACTAATGATGTAATGTATGGGGATTAACATAAGAATAAAAAAAAAAAAAAGCAAGAGAAAAAAAAAAAGTTTATATGGCTCAGATGCCACTCCCTGTGCTGGGGACAGACCGAGAGTCTATAACAGGACATCTGATCTACAGCATCTCTAATCATTTAAGTGCTGCATCCTATGGGGAAAAATTCTAACATTTTGACTAAAGATGCACTTAAAAAAAAAAAAGAACCCATGTCACTGATCAGTACCAATATCCTCACTGTAAGTAATAAGCATTTTACTAAGGTCATTACAAAGGACTAGTAAATTACTTCTTGTAGTTGTATCATTAAAAGCTGTTCCTGCATAGCCACATGATGGCAGATGTCAGTCAAGCTGCAAAAAATTTATCCTGGAGGACGGTTTTTCCAGCAAGAAGTATGAGACAGGATAAACTATACCCTCAAAAGTTTCTGAAATGGGTATTTCCTATCACTGTCTCGGAGTCACTTTGTTGTTGAATTAAAACTATGCATTTTTAGTTGGCTTTAGCAGAATTTTTTAATTCAATACTTCAAGTTAGTAAGGAACTAAAAAAGAGGCCCCATTTCTTCAAAAAGCAAATCAATATTTCTTTGGGCTTTTTTTCTGCAAACAATCTTTAGGCTACCCAGATGATGTACTCATCTTACTAAGTATGGTAAATCACTGAAAACAAGAGAATTTGTTTAAACTGTTAGGTGTCTGGGGCGCCTGGGTGGCTCAGTTGGTTAAGCGACTGCCTTCGGCTCAGGTCATGATCCTGAAGTCCCGGGATCGAGTCCCGCATCGGGCTCCCTGCTCGGCGGGGAGCCTGCTTCTCCCTCTGGCCCTCCCCCCTCTCATGTGCTCTCTCTCTCTCTCATTCTGTCTCAAACAAATAAATAAAATCTTTAAAAAAAAATATTAAACTGTTAGGTGTCTTCTATCATCTTCTTGAGATTTTATTTTTGCTTAGTCGCTGTTCTAACATACTTAGATTTTGGTCAAATTCAATTAATATATAATAAATCAAGACTTATCCCTGAAAAAACATAATTATTTTTCACTACAGAACTCCTTTATACTCTTAGTACACTTAAAATATTCTACTTCCTAAATGAAGTACAAATTTTTAAAAGAGAAATTCTTCAGCACATCTTGGCAAAATCTGCTACCAGCTATACCTTTGGTTGTAGTAACATCATGTGACTGGAAGTGGTACCCCAATACTTAGACTGTATGTTTAATAATTATTTTTATATAATCTCTGTGGACATGTAATCCATTAGGCTTTTATCTATAGATTTTTCTTCATTATTTTGCATTCTTTATTTCAGATCTTCCCTGAAACAACAGCTAAAGCAATCAAAACCTGCAATATGACTCCACTCATGAATGCAGAATCTCCTCCTTGCCCCAACATGAGAAACATGGCTGAAGGCAGGAATGAAGATCTTTGAAACACTAAGTGTTAGCATTTCAATCTCTATTTCCACTGTCTATAAGACACTCTACCACATTCCCTGGCCATTTCTTCTCATTGGTCTTTGTCCTTTATTCAGTTATCATTTTGGATGACCTCAAGATTCTGTTCAGAAAACATCCAAATCTATGAGCTCAGCCTTCTTGATTCCTAAGGTCTGTCTCCCTCCTTAGCCACATCTTAATTTCATTACTATCTGGACCAGCTCCACTGCCAAATTCAGCATGTTTCCACTCCCACTCCTGATCACAACATCCTTGTCTCAGAATTTCTTTTATTGCTAGTGAACCGTCAACATAGTGCAGTAGTAATGCTTGTCCTCTCTGCTTTCTAAAGCCATCAGTCACCTCCTGCCTCAGCTATCGCTATAATCAGTCAAGACCCATTTTCATATTACACAAACCCATGTGCCTATAATCGAGCACATCCTCTGTGCCCACCACTTGAATCTGACCTCCTACCTCTTCTTACTGCTCAGTCCATGGCTCTGGGTATTGTTAGAAAAATCTATGAAGGCATGGCAATTAGTCTTTCCTTGACATTATTTATGATGTCTACCTTTAATGGCTCATTATCACTAACCCATAGGCCCTTTTCTCTTACATAACCTGCTCTTGGCTTTCTAAACTATTTCTATAAACTCCTCCTATAGCAGATGACCACTCCTCCCTGACACTATTATCCCCTGTCCAAAAAATTTACTGTCTAATGTTCTATATTTTAACTGATGCTCTTTCTTTCCTCCCAGCTCAGAGGAAGAGCCTTTCCCCTGGTGTCTACAGGTTTCCTCAATGCTGTAAGAACATTTCTTTGGTTCTTTTTACTCCTGCAAACTACAACACACTTTCCCATATTCTTTCAATACATTTTCTAAAATTATAGACCATGATAGTTGGCTTATCATTCTCCCAAACTACTTGCACAGGATTTGAGTAACAACCTCACTCAAACTGGAACCATATATTCCCCTGGCTTCCACACCATTTACAACTCTATTTTTACATCTCCCTAACCACTTTTTCCCATTCTCATCATCAGCTCCTCTCTGGGCCGTAAGGCACCTCCTATTCACATCTCCCCATCGAACTTGGACTTCTATTGCATAGTTCATAGAACTGGAGTAAGGATTATGCATAGAGCCCTTGAAAGTGTACTATTTAGTCTTAAGACTCCAATCAAACTTACCTCCACAAAAAAGCTTTCTCTGACCTCCCCAGAAAGGGTCAGTCTCCCATAATGGCTTATATGTATCTAACACAGATTACACTGTATGGCTATTTATCTGCTACTGGGACCAGACCATGGTACCACGATGTTTCCTAAGAAAATATAGTCACCCCTGACACCCCCACCTTATCTATCTCTCACAGGGCCACCAAATTAATCTTTCCTAAATCCCATATTGATTCTCCCATTCTTTTCAGAAACTAACAATTTTGCCTTCCTGTAACACACACCAAAACTTTTTAGCCCAGCTCTTAAACCCCATATATGGCTAAAACTACCAATCTTCTAATACCATCTAAGAACCATCCATTTGTCTTATTCTAAAAATATATACAGTACTTTCTCCCACCTGGTGGCCTCTACTCAAGTTCACTTATATGACTGCTAAGTGATAGTTGTGTGATTCTTCTTTAGCTCAGGCATTTTTCCCTGAGTCAAGGCCATCCTCCTGAAACTACTCTCCTTATCCAGTTAGCAGAATGACACTACATTTAATCCACATTGAATACATAGGTGTATATATAATTCCCCAAAAGAATGGTCAAGCCAGTGATAAAGATGACATTTTAAACAAGTCTGAAACCCTCACTATAAGTGACAAATAACATCTTTATTACCATCAACATTTATGCCAGGTGCTGCTACAAATGCTTTACGATGATCCTATGGGATGTGTACTACATTTTTCCCATATACAAATGGGAAGCCAGGGTCACAGAGGCCTTCACAGATGCTTGAACAAAATGGGTACAAAATTATATTGGTAAATGAATAAATGTATTACTAATAACTATGCTCTGACACTGTCATATAAATGAATCTCTTAACCTACAATGTTTCCCCACTCTTCCCAGCCAAGCAAAATCCTCCCAGCCTTTCAGACACAACAGAAATGTCACCTTTTAAAGAAAGTCTCCTCAAAACTTGAAAGAAAGAAAGAAAGAAAGAAAGAAAAAGAAAAGAAAAGAAAAGTTAGTCTCCTGTTAACACCCTGGCAAAATTATTTGCTCCTTCTATGAATTGTCTTTAATACCTAGAATGTATCTTTATTATAACACTGAAGTTTTTTTTTGAAGTTTACTCAGTTAGAATGGGTTTACAATGACAATTCAATATTTTTAATTCTTGAAAGAACTAACTGGAAAGCAAAGTGAATATAATTTACATCTGATGAACAAATGAAATAAACAGAAATGGTATATATCTCATTGGCAATAATTGATAATCATACTCAGAAATCTTTTCTGTAACATTTAGTACATCTATCACATTATAAGGTCTGGTATAGTTAAGTCTAATTCAGAAGGTTCAGTCTTTCTTTTAATATGTCCAAACAAAGCAAACTTAAAAAAATGGGGAACAGACTTACCAGTCTCCTCCTTTCTTCTTCTACTGCAATGAGTAATCTTGCAAATTCCTTTAATGACTGAGCTATTTAGAAGATTAAAAAAAAAAAAAGCATTAACCTCTTTTCATTGCTAATATCTAATTGCACAGGAATAAACATTACAGTGAAGCTGATTATAAATGTGTATATATACTTTGGTTTTACACTTCTATAAGCATAGATCAGTATACACAGTAGGATCTCAATGACTAATAGCTATAGATAACAGATATTTGCGCACTGCAAATTAAAGTCTAGCACACACAAAGTATATTTTTTCTTCAAAGACACTAGGGAGATACAGTTTATGTATGTAATGTATAAAACTTAAATTAATAAATAAAAGTTTACTACTGAAATTGCTTCTAAACAGAATCCTACAAATAATGAATATATTAAATCTCTAAGAAGCAATAAATCCAGTACTATTTAGATGCACTTAGTATCAGCCAGTCATGCAACATCTCCCACTGACTTCTGTCTAGAAGCTCAACAGTTATAGATACTTAAACTAGATTCTGTATTCTGTATTACTCCAATATCAAGGTAGTTTAGACTGTGAGTCATCAGTGTGGCCAGAAGGACTACCAGCATCAGCATTTGGGGAGTTTGTTAGAAATATAGATTCAGGCCTCACCCCAGAATCTGCATTTTAATAAGATCCTCAGGTGATTCATTTGCATACTGAAGTTGAGAAGCATTGATTTACTTTTTTTCTTCTTTTTTTTTTTTAAGTTTTATTTAAATTCCAGTTAACATACAGTGTAATATTAGTTTCAGGTGCACAATTTATTGATTCAACACTTACATACAACACCTGGTGCTCATTACAAGTTCAGATAGCTCTCTAAAGCAGAGCTTCTCCCTAGTTAGGTGGAAGAAGGACTGCTTTACAGAGCTATCACAACTCCTATTGCTCTGGCTTGGGACAAGTATCAAATACTCAGAAACACTGGGAGAATAAACCAAAAAATAAATTGGGACTTACAATAGCGTATTCTTTAAAAATGCATAGTCCCAAATGGCAATTGTGAAACAGTAATTCATCCACGTCAATTTCTATATCTTATACTTAACATAACTAAAGTTGGAATGTTTTGATTACAAAACTAACAAAACAAATAATGCAAATGAATACAAAAATTATTTCTATTTAAGCTTTGAACCTTCCCTTCTATGTCTTTATTCTTTTTTTTTTTTTTAAAGATTTTATTTATTAATTTGACAGAGATAGACAGAAGAGCACAAGCAGAGGGAGTGGCAGAGGGAGAGGGAGAAGCAGGCTCTGCACTGAGCAGGGAACCCGATGCGGGACTCGATCCCAGGACCCTGAGATCATGACCTGAGCCAAAGGCAGACGCTTAACCATCTGAGCCACCCAGGCGCCCTCTATGTCTTTATTCTTTAGGCTCCCTACCATTTCCTTCCTACCCATACTAATATTAAAAACAGTCTGTAAGAAGAAGTCTAGTAAGTCTGGCATAAAGCCTACAATAAAGGCAGGTAAGTGAGGAAAATAAATCAAGAGTCTCAGAACTTATTAAGAAAAAGAATGTTTTCCATTCAAGAATTTGAAATTACAATCTAGGTTTTTTCCCTCCACTCTTTAAAACTACTAGGCTTATGCTAACTAACCTGGTTTGAAATACTATCCCTATGATTACTTCACATTGGATTTTTTTCACAGTTGCCAAAAGAGAAATCAAAGGATTATCTGGGAGACTCAGATTAATCTGATAAACACATTAATGACCTTAGAGGAAATACAATTTTTTTTAATTTAGAAAAATGAGATTTTAATCTCTACAAAAATAACAGTATCAATGCTACAATACAACACAGTTGTGACAACAGTAAGTTGAAGAGAAAAACATTTTACAAATATACAAAAAGTTTTAACTGGAGTATATAATAGAATATTAAATTTTTATACTTTGGGTAAATAAAGCATTCCATCATCCTGGCAACTATCTTGCCACTAAAGAGCTCTACTGGTAAGCCTGAAGAAAAAAAAGTCAATAAAATCTTGGACAATGGAAGGCATTATGTTGACATGCCTACAGAGAAAGAAACCAAGAGATAAATCAGTTTGGACTACAAGAATTGGAGGCAGCAGGTACTCCTGAAGGTGAGAAAATAAGAAGTGAAAGAAAGTTGATAGTAAGTTTAAAGTCTGTATAAAAAGCACTTTAACCCCAGATTTCAAACTCAATGCCTCCCAAACTTTTTAATTTAAAACAAAACAAAACAAACAAACAAAAAACCAACTACCCTCATATGCTTCTTTTATGGGAAGCTGCTGGATAAGGCACTCTAACAAAACATGGGAATAAACCAAGAAAAGAGGATATGGGACCTAGAAGTAGGAGATCCAATATAGCATAGGAGCAAATGAAATTCTTATGTCAACAGAGAGATATTGCAGGTCAACCGCTGTGCAAAAGGTTCAAAGATCTTATCCAGACTGGAGCAACAGGTTACAGACCAGGAAATGTCTCCAGAGAATAAAAGTAGATCTGATCAATAACCTGATGTATCTGAATGTAATAAAAGGAAATTTATACTCTTTTAAAAGAAAATTCAAAGGCAATTATTAACTCCTGGGAAAACAGTTATATAAGTAGCACCATCAAAATAAATGAAATAACTCAGTTGTAGTACATACAAAGTCATCATGATATAAATGTAACAGTATAAAATGAAAAGAGGGTATCTAAGACTGGGGAAAAAGTCAAGTGTTAGCAAGATAATTATGGTCTTGAAAGAAACAGAAGAAATGGCTAAAAGTTCAAAGTGGTCTTTGTGAGTAGTTAAGTCTGCTAAGGACTTGTAAGATGAGAGGCTGCTAGTTTTTAAGCCTAATAAAAATTTTTACCTTTTTTTAAATAATGAAAAATAAAACATGCTATAAATGCTTTATTTTCCCACTAGACTTAATTTTAGGAGGCTAAATGCACATACTAATTTTCCCAAAGAATTAAGTAAATATCTAGCACATAGAAGCCTGACAAGGTTTTTTATTTTGTTTTGTTTTTGTTTTTTTGACAACAGGTATTTTTGGAATAAATGAAGACATAGCTTGATTTAGAGTGTCAGGAAAACACAACCCAGGAGGCAACCACTGTCTCATGGAGTAGTGTCCTAGAAGTAGTCCCAGGAGCATCATCCCATAACAACTTGGAAGTCCACAGGCTTCCCCAAGTAACTACTACTTCAAGAGTAAATCGTGCAGATGCCTTAAGTCAGATTTTGGTTTTAAGTGAAGAAACTCAGATTCTCATTTTGATACTGTTGTACCTCTTTGTCTAAAAATTAATGATGCTGTTTCCTGCTTAACTTGAATAGTTTTCTGGTCTGTTTCCCATATAAATACTATTTATAGACTCAGTACAATAATAGTTTATTATAATGAGAACGTCTGAGGAGAAAAATTGAACATGCAAAAGCAATTGCATGTCTGGTTCCTCACAACAAAAACTACTCTCCCTCCAGCAGTTTTCTGGGTCTGCCCCAATTTGAGAGTAAGTTTTGTTTCTTCTTTTTCTTTTGTTGATTTTTCAGGGAAATTACTTCAATTATTATCTGAATGTAATAAAAGGAAATTTATATAGTATAGTCTTCATATAGTATTTGTTCTTTATATAGTATAGTCTCAGTTCCATAAAAGTATGTTTCTTAGTCCAAATGAAGATACTCATGTTTGTCATTTGTCCTACACGGAAATGAACAGCCAGGAACATCATTTCATCAAATAGTAATAGCAACCTACTTTTTCAACCCATATCTAATGCTTTCCCCTAAGTCTTTTTATTAATAGTTCCTCTAAGTTTTGCATTAATAGCTTACAAAGCACAGGACAACACAGAAAGAAAACAGGAATTAACAATCCTATAAAGCAGGTATAAAATAATTCAAAGTATTGTATAAACTGGGTTTTAGGGCAAAGGGCAAAGGACTGATAGCCAGTGACTTCCTAGGCTGGCCTATGCTCAAAATCTAAAGGAGCCTCTGACACAGTCAGATAGATCCAAGCTGCCTAGTGTACCCCAGCAACTCCTCTGAGATGAGAAGCCAGTATTAGAATTTCTGGTGCCCAGGACCAACAAATGCCTTAAGAGAACATGAAAACTCATAGAAGAGTCTAGTCCCCACCGACCTTGGGCACAAAACATACAAAATGACTCCTCCAGCACCCATCTCAGTGATGTTGACTCCTTGAGCAATTTCTTCTAAGACTTTACTTAAGTAAAATCCAAAAATATTTTTATTACATGCAAATTCTAATACCCAAATACTTTCTTTTATAAGCAACTATATGTGATGTTCCATACCTTGTTTATCAATGTTAATATTTACATAAATAACCATTTCATTATCTGATTTTGGGGATCCAGACTAACATCAAATTTAATAGCTGCTCTTGCAATTTTAGATTCTCCCCATACATAGTTGGTATGACAGGAGCTTGATTAAGTGACAGCAATATCCCAAAAACAATATTTAATACACAGTGAGCTTTAAATAGATGTTCATTAAATGAATTAATGAGTTTAATAATACATTTCCACAATCTATTTGCTATATACAGAGAAACATACCAACTCGTATTCTAGGCTTCATAAAATTATTTTGAAAAGGATAAGCCAGATACTTTGGAAAATTATGTTAGCTATCCCCATTCTTGCCACCTGCATGAAACTTTCCTGGCTGTATTCACCAGTAATAATCTTTCCCCTTCCTGACCATCTGGATCATGAGATTACTGGAGAGCAATCAAAATCAGTTTCATATATAGACGTTAACTTTCCAACAAATTATTGAGGTTAAGAATATTGTTAAATCTTCCCTTTTCATCTGTCCAATGTGATGTTGGAAAAACACTTGGAACAATAGGAATTTATTATTCAGGTGTATTTATGACAGGTCCCAAGAGTAAAAACATTCAAAAAGACAACTGCTGAAATATATCTACACAGTGAGGAAGTCGGATCATGGCTTCTATATTTACTAATATCATAAATTCTAAAACATTCCTGAACTCTCT